GATACCCATCAACAACTATACAAAATAGTAGAATAACGAAAACAACTATACTAAAAATAGTAGAATAACGAAAACAACTATATTGCTGCAAAAGATACCCATCAATAAAAACATCTCCGATTTTTTTTTTTAAATTATGGTTGCGGTGGAGCAGAGCGATGTTACCAGATCTGACGATGCAGACGAGGGTGGAGGTAGAGAGGGGTTAACCATTACCAAAAAAAAAAAACGAAGGGTCTCCCATATTCGATTCCAACGCCTTTGGTGGCCACCGAATATAACGAACAAAGCGAACTAAGCGAGAATCGACTCCGTAGCGGCTGAGAACGAAGCGAACTAAGCGAGAATCGACTCCATAGCGGCTATTGTTCTTTAATTTTCTTCACGGTGCCGGAGATTTGAGAACGACTCCTTCGTCGTTGTTGAGACGTGGCGCCACCTTCGTCCTCCGTAGCCGCCGCCTCCACCGCCATTACCGGGATTCCCAGATTGAGAAAGAAGAGAAGTGGATTTCAGATCGATAAAGAAGAGAAAACGTGAATCGGGATGATAGAACGGCGGTTTTGAATATAAAATATATGGCTAGGGTTTGTGATTATAAGATCTGATAATTAGGGGTAATATAGGTATAATATTTAATAATTATATTAATATTAATTTAATTAAATAACTAAGGGGGGTCTCACTAATATTGGAAAAGGGTGTAGATCCATCCTAATATATCTTAATGTGCTGGGGGGTTTTCACTAATTATCCCTAGTTTTTCAATTGCAACTTAATGGAAAATATTGATCTTCTCTTTGAAGGGCGTAAAATATTTGATTGGAACTGTAGATGAAAAACTATATATTACTGTATATGATTATTACCCTATAGTCATGTATAGTAACATATACATGAGATTGTGCAAAAAAAAAAAATTCTTTTTATGTCTGTTGGTTACAAATTGATTTTTAATATAAATATTTAAATTGTAAATTTTATTTGTTGGTGTGGATGAATTCTTTTGTATATAATCCACAAATATGTACAATATTGGTCGACCATAACTTTTTGGGAAAAAAAAAAAAGAATATTACTATGAATGACTATAATTACTTGTACTTATATTCCTCAGTAAACATATCAAAATAATAATAATAATAATAATAATAATAATAATAATAATAATAATAATAATAATAATAATAATAATAATAATAATAATAATAATAATAATAATAATAATAATAATAATAATAATAATAAAAGAATATTGAAAGAAAGTTAAAAAAAAAAATTGTATAAACCAAAAAAAAACCATGGTTTTTGTATCTATTAAATAAAAGGGGCAATTTGCTATAGGTCCCTCTTTGTTAAATTTTATGTGAATAAATCCTAGTCAAAATCCTATTTTTTAATAAATTATTTGTATTTATTATGGCAAAAATACCCTTAGTCAATCCAAATCAAACCACCCCAAAATATCTCTATCAACTTAAATCTCCCAAAAATCTCTCAATCAAATCAAATTCCCCAAAAAATCTTTCTCTCAATTTTAAATAAAAGAACAACATCACGTCGTAAAAGAAAATATTTGCTGAAAAACGCAGACTCTCAAAAAAACTTCCACAATGATTTCACCAAATTGCAAACAACAAACTGAAAAATATAATTTGCATTATTTAAGTGCAAACAGTAGACTACCTATGAATCGACCAAATGCAAACAACAAACTATTTCATCTAATTGCGAACAACAAACTGAAAATATGATCCAAACCATCTAAATTCAAACGCAATAACAACATTAGTCAAAATAATAAACATAATACAAATGTAAAAAACAACAACAAAATCTTCCAATGTCTAAAATTGCGATTTGCAGTTTGCAAAAAATCAACTGTTATGGATTGCAATTTGCAGTTTTCTGTTATATGCTTCAAATTTATTTTGCCATTGCAATTTATTTTTTTTGTTTTCTGGAGCAGAATCAATTAGAAAACACAAACAAAAATTATAAAATCACTACAAAATAAATACAGAGAAGGAGAAGTAAAGAGCTAACTTCTTGTAAGCAATGGCTTGTTTGTTGTCGGCTATTATCTCTTTCACCAACATATGATCTCATAATGTAAAGAAACTCTCTTTTGTTTCGCTATGTATTCCATCGAAATAATCAAAGAGAATATAAGGAGGGAGAGAGAGAGAGAGAGAGAGAGAGAGAGAGAGAGAGAGAGAGAGAGAGAGAGAGAGAGAGAGAGAGAGAGAGAGAGAGAGAGAGAGAGAGAGAGAGAGAGAGAGAGAGAGAGAGAGAGAGAGAGAGAGAGAGAGAGAGAGAGAGAGAGAGAAATCGTGAAAAGAGAAAGGAGGGAGAGAAGAGAGAGAGAGAGAGAAATCGTGAAAAGAGAAAGGATGGAGAGAAGAAAAAATACGTGAGAAGAGAAGAGAGGAGAGAGGAGAGAGAGAGAAAAATAAATACGTGAGAAGAGAAGAGAGAAGGGAGGAGAGAGAGAGAGAAATTTATGGAAGGAAGATAGTGATATGTGAGATTTGTTTTCTCACTTCTTTACGTAAAAAAACTAATTCCATATGAAACAATTAATAATTTGAGGGTATTTATGTCTAATAACTCGTAAAATTATTTAAGGGGATCACTATTTCAAATACTAATTTTTGCTTACTTGAATACCAAAAAATAAAAAATAAATAATTAATTGTAAATTACTTTAATGCCCTTAATGAAAATTAAAACCAAAAAAATATTACAAATACTATTTTTCTTTCTTAAATACTAAATAATCAAAAACCTAAAAAAAACATTTTCCTCCTCACTCACAAACCCCTCACCTCCTCCACCTCCTTCTTCTCCCTCCCCAAAAACCCTCCTAAAAAACCTCAAAACAAAAGAAATCAAAACCTTACACAACTTGCAAAATGGCGTCAAATGACAATAGAATGGTAGTTTACGAGCAAGGAGAACCCATTCAGGTATGTATTCATGTATTTTTTGAGCTAAAACATCGATTTTGAATTTTTTTTTTTTAAAACTCGCCATGTATTTTCGACACATACAGGTCGAAAATACCCTTATTTTTCGACGTGTATATGTCGAAAACATAACAATTCATATTTTATTAAGTTTCGACGCCTAAGTGTCGAATTATGATACAATTTTCGACACCTAAGTGTCGAAAATTACCCATATTTTCGACACTAAGGTGTCGAAAATTACCCATATTTTCGACACTAAGGTGTCGAAAGTGACCTCTATTTTCGACACTTTTGTGTTGATCGATTGCACCCATTCATTTACCACGTCAGAAAAATTCCCAACAAAAGAAGCTTTATTGCCATGGGTTCGTGAAGTATGTAAAAGAATTGGAATGGTGTTAATGATTGCGGGTTCGAGTGACGGGGATAGAGGACGTAGGACACCGTATGTGATTGTTCGTTGTGAGCGTGGGGGCCATTATGTTGGCAAGAAGGTACCAGGTGAAGATGATCAAAGACCGGGAAAAAGGAGCACCGGTTCAAAGAAATGCAATTGTCCGTTTAAATTGAAGGGGACAAGAGAACACAAGGATGATGAAAAGGCTGAGTGGAAATTGGATGTTTATAGTGGTATTCACAACCACAACTTATTCGAAAACTTGCACGGACATTCTTATGCTGGAAGATTATCAAATGAGGATGTTTCCTTTGTTCACACTATGAAGAAACCAATGGTGAAACCAAGGGCAATATTAAGAGCATTGAAGGAAAAGGACCCGTCTAATGTAACTGGTATGAAGACAGTTTACAATACTATCTCTAAGTTAAATTTCAGTGAATTGGATGGGAGATCTCAATTGCAATCATTGTTCGTCAAGTTGAAAGAAGATGAATACATCTCGTACCATAGATCGAACGAGTTGAATGCGATTACCGACTTGTTTTGGATCCACCCGAAATGCATTAAGTTGGCACAGTCGTATCCGTACGTATTCGTCATCGATTGCACGTACAAGACCAATCGTTACGGACTCCCATTTCTTGAGAATGTGGGTTTTACTTGTACCAACAAGACGTTCTCAATTGCCTTTGCATACTTGGATCACGAAAAGACGAAAAATTTTGAATGGGCGTTGCGTTGTTTGAATGAGGCCATGACCAGTTGTCCTCGGCCTAATTGCATTGTAACAGATCGAGATTTGGGTTTAATGAAAGCATTGGCCAATGTGTATCCATCGAGTCATCACTTGCTGTGTCGGTGGCATGTGAACAAGAATATTGTGGCCAATTGTAAGAAATTGTTCACACAGGACATCACCAAATGGAAGCAATTTCAGTCGGGTTTTTCGGCTCTTATTGAAAGAAATACCATGGAGGAGTTCAATGAGGATTGGGAGTCAATGAAAAGAACATTTATCGGTTATTCTCAGGCTATAGAATATGTAGCTAATTTATGGTTGGATCCGTACAAGGAGAGACTTGTATCGGTGTGGACAAATAAGTGTACTCATTTTGGAACGTACACTTCTAATAGGGTGGAGGGGGCACACGGACGAATAAAAAGGGATGTGCATAATTCAACTGGCACATTTGTGGATTTGTATACGAAAGTCCACAACCAAATTGTCGAACAACACAATGACATCTAGGCTTCCTTTGAAGTAAGTAAAAATACTTACGAGCACACTTTCAAAACGTTGATATACAATGAGCTTCGTGGAAGTATCTCAAAATACGCTCTGCAACTACTCAAAGTTGAGGTGGACAATGCGAAACTATTGCAACCGAGCGATATGGGTTGTAGTTGCGCCATCGGAACAACTCACGGTCTACCATGTCGCCATGAACTTCATGAGTATGTTGTTGTGAACAAATGTCCTATCCCACTTGAGTTAATAGGCTCGTATTGGAAACACATGAGCATGGAGCCCGTTGCGACCACAGACCAAGTCATCCTACCAACCATCGACGAAGAATTATCGGAATACCAGAAGCTCTTTGAATGTGCCGATCTCGATGCAAAAACTCGATTGCGCAACCATTTGAGACATTTTACCCACCCAGAGAAGACTAACCTTACGGAGCCAAGGAAAAAGTTGTTAGCAAAGGTCGACCGGCAAAAAATAGGAAAGACAAATCAAGCACTCGGGACAAATCACATTTTGAGTATGTGGAGCCAAAGAAAAAAAAATTGAAGCAAGCTAGTTGTTCTCCAAAGGTAAATGTCGCTACTATCGTCTCATTTCATTGAAGTTGTATTTTATAATTGTGCTGAGTAATGAAGTGTAATATACTGCAGCTTATACCTGTACTGATGAGATTACGAGGGCACTCGAATGATTCTTTTAACACTATACCAACTCAAGAGTCAGGAAAAAGCACTATACCGACGCAAGAGTCGTTCAAACCATTATTTGAAGATGCAGATGTGGGATTGCCACCAGGTTTGATCGGCAAGAATAAGTACATTGACACGATCCATCCACGATTTCGTATGCACGTTCGAGAAATCATCAATGTCGGTTCAGATGGACACTGTGGATTTCGGGCAGTTGCCTCTATGATGGGATTTGGAGAACATGAATGGGGTCGAGTGCGAGATGACATGCTACGGGAGTTGACTTCTAATTTTTCCACTTACACGACCATGCACCGTGGCGAAGAAACCGTTAGAAGCATGCAAGCTATTGTGAGTAACTGGGATGTTCCTGCAACTCGTGATCATTGGATGTCTTTTCCAAATATGGGTCATGTAATTGCTTCAACATACAATATTGTGCTTGTCTACTTATCCAAGTATCAGTGTCTCACGTTCCTTCCTCTATCGAGCGATCCAAAGCTTTTCAGCGAGAGACAAGAGCACGGAATGGCATTCGTCGACAACTGTCACTTCGTGCATGTTGTCTTGAACAAGAATTGTCCAATACCTCCTATCGCCGGTTATTGGTACCGATGTCATGATCCTAAAGCTGATGGTTGGAAGCCTGCAGAAATGGATGGTCGGATTACAACATTTCGAGAACTAATAGGTCAAAATGTTGCCACGCGAGAGAGTTTCGAGATTATTACTATATCAGACAATGGTGATAGTTCTCCGAACAAAACTTTGTAAAGTTACTGGTGCTAGTTTCAATGTTATTAAGTGTTGTGTTTTTGAAAAATTGCAATTTTTATGTGTTTTGTGAGATTAACCCCAAATATATTGCAATCTAACATAAAAAACATATTCTAAGTTTTTTTGGACAAGAAAAAAAATATTTCAAATAAGCAAAAAAAAAAAAATTTTGAAACAGTGTGAATTCGACAGCTAGATATCGAATTCCTACTGAAATTCGACAGCTAGCTGTCGAATATACACTGTTTCAATTTTTTTTTTTTTTGAAAAAAATTGCAATTTTTATTTGTTTTGTGAAATTAACCCCAAATATATTGCAATATAAAATAAAAA